TTCCTTATAGTTTCAGAGATTTAGTCCATTATTATCATGGTGTGGAAGCACACAGACATGGTGCTGGAGAAGTAGCTGAGCATTTTACATCTGGTTCTTCAGACATCAGGAAGAAAAAGGCTATGGGCCTGTGGTGGACTTTTGAAACCTCAAAGTCCAGGCCATACCTCTTACTCCTTTTCAACTAGTACCACTTCCTGGTGACAAATTATTCAAATGTATGAGCCTAGGAGGCCATTCTTACTCAAACCACCACATTTGTTTATAAGTGTAAATTATTCAAGCAATGAAGGAACATGCAATAACCATTTTTATCTTTAAACTTTTCATTATTTGAGAATCCCATACATGAGTACTATATTTACATCATTTCTTCTCCAACTTCCCCAACTTCTCCCCCTGTAACTCCTTCTGTGCCCCCAACTCCCTCTCAAATTCATAATCTTGTCTATAGGTATTGCTGTGCATCCATGTACATGTATGTAAAAACCTGTTGAGTCCATCTAGTGTTGCTTGTGTTTACACACAAGCATGAATGGCAAGTTGAAATTGAGTAACCTAGCAGGGAGCTTAAGCTTGAAGAAAATTAATTCTAGCCCCCTCAGCAGCAATAACTGCCTTTAGCTCTTCAAATTCAGTGGGCTTCTGAAATTTCTTCCATCTACATTGTCTTATTGGTGTTATCATTATGCAGGTCTTCTTCAGGCAGCCATATTGTTGGGATTTCATGGGTGGAGATTCCCTGTCATGTCTTGAGGCTCTTACAATCTTCCCATCCTTTCTTCTATCATCTTCTATGATCCATATGGGTTAGGAATGTGTTGAAGGTGTAGCAGTTGTGGTTGGGCAGCCCATAGTCACTTATTCTCTGAGTTTGACCATCTGTTGTTTAAAAAAAAAAGACATTTCTTAGAGGAGGGGTATGAGCTACACTTATCCTTGGGTGTAATGATATGTCTTTAGAAAATGGAATTTGGGCTGGAGAGATGGCTCAGCGGTTAAGAGTACTGACTGCCCTTCCAAAGGTGCTGAGTTCAATACCCAGCAACCACATGGTGGCTCACAACCATCCATAATGAGATCTGGTGCCCTCTTGTGGCCTGCAGCCATATATGCAGGCAGAATACTGTGTACATAATAAATAAATAAATCTTAAAAAAAAAAAAAAGAAAATGGAAATTATACTGGCTTAGGAAATTGGAAGAAGTATTCTGGGGTCAGAAATGTTCCCAGGATTAGGAGTTGTAGTTAATATTTCCCTCCTGCTGAAATTTAGGGGAAAATATTTGAGAAAGAACAAAATTTCCAGGGAAAATTACAGCCATTGCATGTGTGACTGACAAAGTAAAACCAAAAACAGCCCAAAGAATAAACAATATAATAAGAGAGAAAAGAGCCGGCAAGCTGCATGAATTTGACAGAGAATCCATTTCCATGGCTGCTTTGCCATGAGACTGACCCATTGCACAGATAAGTCATAGACTGCTGGAAATGGTCAAGAGACAGCCAGAACTGAACTACTCTGGTGATGGGATGGTCAAACACCCATCCAAGGTCTGAGGAATCTGGATGCAGAGATCCATGGCTAGGCCCCGGGTGGAGCTCCGGGAGTCTAATTAGCGAGAAAGAGAAGGGTTTATATGAGCAAGAATTGTTGAAAGCAAAGTTGGATAAAGCACAGGGACAAATAGCCAAATGAATGGAAACACATGAACTATGAACCAAAGGCCGAGGGGCCCCCAGCTGGATCAGGCCCTCTGAATAGGTGAGACAGTTGATTGGCTTGATCAGTTTGGGAGGCATCTAGGCAGTGGTACCAGATCCTGTGCTCATTGCATGAGTTGGCTGTTTGAAACCTGGGGCTTATTCGGGGACACTTGGCTCAGTCTGGGAGAAGGGGACTGGACCTGCCTGGACTGAGTCTACCAGGTTGATCTCAGTCCTCGGGGCAGACTTTGCCCTAGAGGAGGTGGGAATGGGGGGTGGG